CAGCAGCAGCGCAGCAGCAGCAGCAGCAGCCGCCAAGGGGGCGAGGAGGAGGAGGAGGAGGCGGCGGCGGCAGAAGAGACCATGTCTCTCAGGAAGGCAGCCGCTGTCCTGTAACCGCAGCCGCACAATACACAAGCACCCCCCGCCCCTCCAAACAAGCCCCCCGCCGCCAAGAAGCTGGGGGCAGAGCCGGGGTGCGGGCAAGGTAAATCCAAACCGCTGTGGAGATCCGTGTGTGCTGTGTGTGTTCTTTGTTGTCCTCATCTTGTCTCTTCCCCCACCCCACCCAGCCTGCGTGTTCTGTCATTCTGTGGAAATCATCTTCACCCTCCCCCAAATTTTTAATTTTTAAAATCAGCGTGGCTTAAATCTTGGCGATTGAGGAGCAGAGAAAGAGGAGCTGGGCATAGAACAAAGGTTTGTGTTAATTGCATGCATGATCCAGTGTGCAATTAGCTGGGGTTGCTGCAAGGCTCCTACTTGAAGGTGTGCTAGTTACAACAATAGATCCGTGGTAGTAGAGGAGGGGCTATTGGTTCTGAAATTGCTAGACTGGTAACTGACTTTGGCACAGTAGCTGGGTAGGGTTAAGGTTCTACAAACATAAAGTGTGAGTTTGCAATGAAGAAGACTCTAACTGTATTTCTTGAGGTTTAGATAGTGTTGTACCTTGTGTAGAGTTCACAGGGAAAGGTAAGGACAGATGTTTAGAAAGTTTTCCTTGGTGAGTTCTGACACATTTCTGATTGCATATAGCATCCACTTTATATTTAGCTGTGATTGTTATTCAGACCATAAATGTTTATTTCTTTTTCATAGTAAATAACCAGCGGGTAGATCATTTAAGACTTACATTAAAACTGGGGGTGGGGAGGATACAAATGTGAAGATCCAGGTGATGATAGGTGCAGCAGGATTTTCCAGGAGCATTGTTTTACGGTAGGGCATTTTGGGTAACAGTAATTCTGTAAAATTTTGTAAGTTAAAATAATTAGCCCAAGTCTGCTTTGCAGAAATTGAATTCATCTTCATAGAGAATTTTCAAATAAGTACAGAAAGGTGTAGTTCATTCTAATACCTCTTTTAGTAATCAAAGCTGTGAAAACACCCATTGGTTTATGTAAACTAACGAAAAAATTGGAGTGATCTTTGCTAGGAGAAAAACATCTGGGACAATTTGAAACTTGAGTATTCCTACTGGGTAATAATTTTGTTTGGCAAAACATGTACCATGTGTATCATTATTTTGTAATATTTTGGTCATGAAAGAGAGTAATAGTCTGGAATCCATACGTTTAATGTTAAAATACCATGTTCATAAATAGTGAATGTTACTGTGCTGCTGCTATTGATTAAAATGTTGCATATTTCAATGTGCATTATTTCAACTGCATTGTTGATATATTTAAACAAGGCACATATTCATTCTGTACACCCATTCTTTTGCAACTTTGTTGATGTTGTCTTTATTGTGATTATCTTAGTTACTGTTTCAGTCACCTGGAACATCCTCACATTCCTGGTTCATTTTTCTATAGTGGGTCTGTTGCCCCTCCTGCGCTTCCCAGGTGCTTTTTAAAAAAATGCATCCTAGTGTTACTGTAACAATATGATACTCCTTTAAACATATTGGGTAATGAAACCAAATGAGTAGATATCAACACAGTAGGTGGTTTGATTTGCTACTGTGGTGCTTCTGACCATTACGCTTAGCCAGATGTATGTATTTCTCTTACAGTCCTTCAAAATTGACTCTACAAATTTTAACTAAGTACGAAGAACTAAATTTAGATGTTGGGGAGGGAAGGGGAGAAAATTGTTAAGCTGGCCTTCAACTTTTCAGTCACGTAATTTAACAGCACACTAATTTTTGTTTTAACAGTCTTCATCTTGGATCGAGACAAGTTTGTGTGCACAATTAGGCTTGCAAATTGCTAGTCTCACCTTGACTTTGCCTCTCAGTTCCCAACTGAACATGGTTACCTTGAGAACCGTGGCATTAACACTGTTAGAGCATGCTCCGCTTGGGATTTCGGGTGTGTGCTATTTTTAATGCTATTTAATGAAGAAACTTCTCATTCTGCAATGAAGGAAGCATAATGGAAGAGCAGAGCAATGATTGGTTATGGATACTGAAAAAGAAAAATTGCAAAGGTAAAAGCGGACAATGAGATATGGTGACTATTATTCACATCCTTTCAATATATTTATACTAGCCTAAGATACATGAAAATTAAATAAGAAACTGATTCAGTATTTTAAATAAACCTTCCTTTTTGGATATAGAAATAATTTTTTAAAATTAGTAAATACCTTAAAAGTTGTAAAAGACATAAATGGTGGATAGAAATTGTTTTAAAGAACTGTTGATTAATCTGTATATTTTGGCATTATATACAAATGTATTATCCAAAGAAAATTTTCCCATTTTATACAGATCATTTAATGGTGAAATGTTTTATGATGAAATAATATTATTTTAAGAAGTATTTTTAAATCTACCTGTTTTCTGATGCATTTAGGGCTAACTTCTGTTGTTAAAATAGTGCACATTTTATAACTATAGCAATCAGAAGCAGAAGTTTCTGAGTTTTACAGTACTTAAAAATTGTTTCAGTGAATACCACATAGCAATATTGCATGTAATATTTGCAGAAAGCAAACCTAAACCTCTAGTGATATAAGTGAGGAAAATAAAATACCTATAGATTCATTACTGTGAATATCATTATGCGAATATGTCTTGATACTCCTTAAAAATACTTTTCTTTATGGGGAAGTGTTCCATAAATCTGTACCCAGAAAAATATTCATTGGCTATTTTCAGAAACCCACACATTCAGTGTCATCTAAAGAGGCCAGTTTTTGATTAAAGATATCACACATAAAGTAATGTTCTCATTCTACTGCCTCTACGGTATTACAGAATATTGATTTAAGGGTTAAATCCTGAAAACATTCCTTAAATCTGTGTAGTCTTGTTGATTTGTCTTGTGTTTAAGCACACAAGTAAGCGTTACTCACGCCTGTAAGGAGTTATATGATCAGATCCTAGGAAAAGAAATGGCATAGATGGCAGAAAGAACCGAATTAAATCAATGAGCAAATTAATAAATTTCTCACTGTAGGAAATAACACAAATATAGTACAAAAGTGGCTTGAAAATTTGACCTATGCAGAGTAATGAGACACCTTAGGCTATGGGCTAAATCATGCTGATTCTAAGAGTGCAAGTAATCCCAAAGACATCACTAGGTCTACTTGTGTGAATAAGGCAAGTAGAAGTCGGCCTAACAAAACACTCATATGGGGTAGCAAAAAAAGAAAACTAGAATGATATAAGAAGTTTTAAACTACAATAAGTTCTTAGTTGCCACCTCGTTAAAATGTAGTATGGTTCAATCAAGTATTTTAGCTTAGAATTATAGAATCATGGAATACTAGAACTGGAAGAGACCTCGAAAGATCATCACATCTAGTCCCCTGCCCTCAGAGCAGGACCAAGCACCATCTAGATTATTCCTGACTGATATCTAACCTGCTCTTAAATATCTCCAATAATGGAGATTTCATAATCTCCCTAGGCAATTTATTTTAGTGCTAAACCTGAAGTTGGGCAGTTTTTCCTAATGTCCATCCTAAACCTCCCTTGTTGCAATTTAAGCCCATTTCTTCTTGTCCTATGATGAGAAGTTAAGGAAAATAATTTTTCTCCCTCCTCCTTATAACACCCTTTTATTTATTAGGAGTAAAAAGGAACACTAATTCTAGAATCCCTCACTTAGTCACAAAGTGTGATACTGAGTTCCTCACACAAAGCGCTGAGTACATTGAAGGAATGCAGGCGCTTGTCCAAAGGTTGCTCAGTGTCACAAATACTGAGACAAACCTTTAGCTATTGTAAATTGGTAGCTCCATCAATTTTAGTAGAACTGTGTTGATTTGCACCAGCTGATAAGCAGGCCTGCCATTTATAATATACCAGATTCTGGCATCCATACTCACATTGAGTAGCAATTTACTGCAGGAATAGCATCATGGATTTCTGGGATTAGTTGCAGAGTAATGAACTATATCATGTGAACAAGGTTGGCAGTACCTGGCACATAAGGAGTACTCACAAAATAGTGGCTTGGTACAAAGGTTGTTGAAGACAACGGGAGTCTTTTTAGCCGAATGTCTTCATTTAGATAAAGAGAATTTCTAACTCAAATGATCATTTAGAAGGAATGCTATAAATTTTCAAGTAATTCATTAACGATGGGCCAGCAGAAAAGTAATGTAACTGCAATACTAATCAACTTGCCAAAATTTGTTTTAGATATGGAGTTTTGTTTTATACAGGTAGTAACTCAAGCAAGCGTGTCACTGTCTTTTATCCTGAAGAATGAAATGTATATTAAATTAAAAGGAATAAGTGTGAAGGATTGTATAAATTCCAGTGGAAAGTGAGTAGTTACGAAGAAGTCTTAGAAACACTAGATACGGATAAGCATATCTTTGCATATGATAATGTGCATTTCTTTAGTAGGGATGTAACTGTGTAGTCGATTAATCGATAAACAAAAGTTTATAGGTTAATGCTATGGACTATATGAGTTTCTTCCCTTCCTCCCTGCCAGTAAATTTTTAAGCGGGCTAGTCCGCAGTCTGCCTCAGTTCTGGCTCATGCTCGGTCTGGAACCTACCCCCACAGCAGCTCTGCATTTAAAGTGTATTAGGAGCCAGGCAAGCAGCCCAGCTCAGTTCTGGCTCATGCCAGGTCCAGGAGCTCAGCCCTCTCCCCAAGGAAATAGGCTGCTGGCACCCTATGCTGCTTCCTCCATGTCAGAGGCAGCAGTACGGGGCAACTGGCAGTTGGGCCGCGAGGGGAGCTGGTTTTTAAAAAGATACAGAGGCAGCAGTGCAGAGTGGCAGGGGGCTCCACAGGAGTGGAGCAGCTCATTGGCTGCCGCCCTACCTCCAGAGTCTATGTATTAGTTGAGTAACCAATAAGAATTCATGAGGTTAATCAACTATTCAATTAACCGATATTTAACATCCCTATTCTGTAGTACATTCCATCCCAAAGCTTAATTAAGCCTTGGCTTACTCAATCCATGCATTACAGGTAAGTATGACCTTTCCCATTGTAAGGATGGGTAAACTGAACCTCAAAGTAATTAAGCAACCTGTCCAAACTAACTTTTCTAGTTTGTGACAAAGCTGGGGGAGCTCCCATTCCTATGCTTTTAGCTAACAGTGTTTCTGTCTAATTGCTGTTGGTTTCTTTTTCAAAGTTTCACTACTTTCATAGTCTGTCAAAGTGTTTTTTCTGAAAGGCATAGATGAAAATAAAACTATTAAAATAATGTGTGTGTATAGTAGTGCAATTATAATTCTTTATTTTGAATAATTATTTTATAAATATTTTTGCTTAACTGGCAAACTAGACTACTTTGACACAAGTAATCAACAGTTTGGATAACTAATAATTTTAGGGTTTTTTAAATGGCTAGTACATAGTATTCCTATTGGTATGCTATTGTAAATTATGAATTGGATAATTGATAATTCCATGTTAAGAAATGTTTCTAGTAGGATACTTTTATGTTAGGACAGTACCGCAAACTCCACCAAAATAGTAACTGCTTGCTAGCTGGAAAGATCAATGTTTAATGACAACATAAGTATGGTACACATAGGTGTGTGTATGATTTTCTAGAAAATATAAGTCCGGTAAAGATTATGGTATTGTTGTTTAAGGAGACAGCACATATAATAATTATTTGTATGTTCTATTCTTGCAGAATTTGTAACAATTGGTCTAGTGAGGGTCAAAATACTTAGGTATAACAGTTCCATACAGCTTCTTATATTTGTTTACCTTGGATTTCCAGTTTGAGTAGCTCCAATTGTATATTCTGTGGATGACAACATGTGGTGGATATACATTTGTATAAATTTGTCAGTGACATTTTCCTACATATGGTTCCTCTGTAAGTAAAATGTTTTCTATGTCTTTCATTACTTTTTTTGTTTAGAAACTAAAAACATACAAAACATCTACATTAATGTTTTATGTTTGCCATATCTACTCAGAAAGCTAATGAAAAGAAACAGGGTTCTTAAACGATTGTCCTAATGCAATCTTTTTTGTTAATTTATACTACAAGTTTGTGTATCCATCTCTTCCTTTTTATTAACACACTTTCCAGTCTTTCCAAAATCCTTCAGAAATAAATCCTTCAGTTGGTTTGAGGGGAAGGGCATTGCTGGAAAGCTGTCCCTTTAAAAAATTTCTTTACCATTTTTGATCATACCAATGGCATATTTATATATGGTACTCAAATCATATAAGCCAATATCTGATAGCAAATGATCATATATTGATTTATTTGCATTTCTACTTCTAAATTAACTCTTTCTATTAGAAAAGGAACTTAATGTGGGGAAGATGAGAATAATAGAATAAACAAACATTAGATTTTACAAGAGTTAGCCAAGGGAATTTTAAGATTAAGTGGCTAGTTGCCATTGTCATAATCATGGTTAAAATTCTTAGAAGCTATAATTTGATTTTTCTACTTTGTTTTCAAGAAGCCATGAAGATTTTCTATGCAGATATAATGCAACATAATTTTAACTGAAACACACACACAAAAAAGCAGCAATGTCTTGGAATGCATTTATGGTTTGCAAGTTAATGTTCTAAACCAATGGATTTCTGAGTAATTTGTAAGTAAATATAGGTTTTAGACACTATAACTGTTCTCATGTAAAATTTCAGTGTGATCACATTCTTCTGTGAAAGTGGAAAAGTAATTTTTTTGGTAAATGAAATAGAGAGCTGCCCACAGAGCAACTGGCACATTTCTTATTGTACTTGTATTGAATAAGACATCTGCTTCTGATCTTCCTTCCAGGTGGTGAATAACAATTTAAAGAAAAGAAAAAGGGAAGCCACTAAAAAACCCCAGCCCTCAAAAAAAAAAAAAAAAAAAAAAAAGCCCTCCAGTGTCTTAGTGCTTGTTATGTGTTCAGTTTCATTTTTGGCAATTTATCAACTGCAGGTACTGTATAAACATTTCATAAATATTAAAGTGGTAAAAGCTTGGGAAAATGCCTCTCCGCCCCCAGATGGTTAAAAAGCTAGTTTCTTCTAAACCAGAAGT